CGGGGGGAGGGGCGCCCGCCTCTCTCCTCTCTCCTCCCGCTCTTATTTTATTTCACTTTTGTTTTTGACGTTCTGCCGTGTTTGATGGTCTCTTCCCCTGCAGCGGGAGAGGAGAGCCTCCTGTAAGGAAGGTCCCTGGCGCTACCCCTGCCCTGGGCGCTTCCCCGGGGGGCCCGTCCTGGCGTGCAGGCGCTCCTGGGCCTCTCTCAGTAGAGCTGAATGTTCGTCAGGTGGGGGGAAAGGCAGGTGAAGTTGATGGCTGTACACAGAAAAAAATATAAAAAATTAATTTGCTTTATTACTCTTGCGTTGGCCATACCAGTGCAGCCAGGAGAATGATCCGAAGGCTTCAGCCAGCACTGGGGACATCTTTCAGGCTGCAAGATAAAATTTATCTTCCAGGTTATACCTGTATACAGATAATGAGCTTTATTCTTGTCGCTTGTGTCAGAATTTGCACTGCTAAGTCTTAAAGAAGTCTTATACAAAATGAAAAGTCGAGATATCTTTTCCAGATTTTTTTCATTTCTTGGAAAAACAAATTTAACATGCAATTTTCTGAAAGAACTGTAGCCACAAGATATTCAGCTGCACTGTCCACAGGAAACTTCTTTTTAGAATAGTTAATACAGCAAACAGCCTATTTATGTTGGAAATTCATTTCAAGCCTGATGAATCCCTTGACCCTCAAACTTCAATTGAATCACCATTTAGTCTTTGTGAATGTGGACATCTAGTCTTTAGAACTTGATATTTATGGCATTTATCCAAGTTACTAACATCATTGTTGTGAGTTTCCCAGAAAAGTGACAAGACTTCTAAGATACATTTAACTGCCTTCACATTCTGAAGTGAAGAAGGTATTTGGGCTGCCTTATATCAAATAAACACTTGTTTGGGGGGTTTCTTGTCTCATTAAAACTAGTGTAAAAGCTATGCCAAGACTCATGTATAGGATTTCCTTCAGTCAGGTACACTGGCTATGTTTGAAATGGAAAAATGAATGTCGATTTTCTTACTGTCAATGGGTGTCATTGTGCATTCACAGTGCATCTAAACTTTGATCTTGGTAAATGTTTCCAGAAGGATATATATTGTTTATCATAAATATGTTTGTATTTATGCTCAAACTGTTTCTGTGGTTTACTTTTTTTTTTTTAAGATTGCTCACTGCAGAAGATAATTATTTTACATTCAAGCTTGTAGTTATTTATATTTTTCTCCTACTTCTGCCTCAAATAATTTTTTTTCTTCTTTTTCTTCTTACAGCAATTGGAAGACTTTGTGAAAAATGTAAGTATAGCTTCTACATATAGTTGCTTGAGAATGTGGTGCTGTGGTTAGAACATACAGTTTGGATTTGGGGATTGGATTCTATTTTTGCTTTAACCACAAACTTGATGTCACTCTTTGAGATGAGAACAGTTGTGTATTGCAAGCGTAAATCAATGAATACTTACAAAGTTACATGCTGAAATAGATTGTCACACAAATGCATGCTGTTCTAGAGTATATGCTGCCAGCATTTTGAGTAGCTGAGGCTAAGGTGACTTTTTGATTGATTCCTTGTAGTCTGTAACACAAAATGATCACCATGGTCATTTCAAAGCAGGGGAAAAACAAAAAAAAAGGCATTTTTGGAATCTGACTTCTTCACACCTTGAGAAAAGTTCCCTTCAGCATCTACGAGAATAAGAAATGGAGGGGAGGGGAAATCTAGAGTAAGAGAAAAAAAAAAAAAAAACACCACAGAATCAAAAGCCAGTGCTCATCTGTAGAAGGGAAGAGTATGATCTGTAATTAGATCCTTGTAAGGGAACAGAACAAATAAGATGACTAGTTCGTGACTCAGAAATAGTATGAAAATAAGTGAAGTGGAGAGAAGCACCGTCTGAAGCAACAGCATTGTTTTCAAGAGCACTCAGCAATGAAACAGATTCCCATTGGTTGTAGTTGAGGGCCGTCGTGCTGGAGATTTAAGAGCAGGTTAGATGAGCTGTTTGTGGGAGTCCGAATTAGATGCCTTGGGAACTGGTAATAGGATATGAAGCCTTTCATCCCTAGGTCACTGTTTTGGATAAGGTCCAGCACAGCAGAGACTGTCAATGGCATCTGATGGCTGCCTGCCTGTATGATACGAGTACTTGAATTTCACTCGGTTCCTTGTGAGAAAGCAAGAGCGCCTTTTGTGAAATGGCTCTTTATGCCAGTTTGCCCTTTCTTTGGCCTTCTCACAGATGAAGGATTAAAGGGACTACGAGTACAATATCTTATCTCATCTCTTTGGGGGTAGTAACTCCAGATTTTTGTTGATGTGTCACTGTGGGAGAAGCTTACACTGGTGCTTCTATGTAGGTAAGGACCCTAGTCCTGTCAGTCCAACATTGTTTTCACAAGTGAAAAATTCAGGAAAAGTTCTAGAGTAGAAGTAATGGTGTGATATAAGCAGGCATTGGCTAATCACAGAAGAAGTGACTTTGGGTTTCTTTTCTGATTGTGAATGCATGAATAAATAAAAAACCTCAAATATTGCAGGCTACTGGCCCTTGTTCCTCTCAAGTCTGTGTGCAGATACGAAGTTGCACCCTGTGCCTGCAAGATAAATTTCTGCAGTTCAATTGTATTGTCTTTGAGTGTGCAGGCAAGTTCTTTGATCAGGAAGCTTTTCCTCTTTGATGTGGGGGTGAAGAAAAGGATATTCTGTAACCAAAGGCTCTGCTGTACTTGCAGGTGACGGCAAATGCGTGATCTGTGACTCCTATGTGCGGCCCTGCACTCTCGTGCGCATATGTGATGAATGTAACTACGGCTCGTACCAAGGGCGCTGTGTAATCTGCGGGGGTCCAGGAGTGTCTGATGCCTACTACTGCAAGGAGTGTACCATCCAGGAAAAAGATGTATGTTGTCATCCAGTCTCCTGTTGAATTGGTTATGTCTTTATTTGGTAGCCATGCTTGTCTTCAAGGGACTTGGAGCTAGTGAAATTAGTATTGGGACGTGGGACACTTGGGTTCAACTATCAATGTTGGCACTGGTTTTCATTACTTCATACCTTTCTTCCCCTGTTGGTAGCTCTTCGTGTTTGCAAAGCATTTTGAGATACCGTAGCATTTTGAGGTATTGTAACTCTTCATCCCGAAGGATCTTTGACTACTTGCACTGCACGCTCAGGGTTCGCTTCCGCCACACACTGCAACTTACCACTTTCAGTTGTTATCTTACTAGATCTCTCAGCCAGGGTTTTATCAGGGTCAGAGATACTCCAGACACTGCAAAGGCAGTGGTAGGAGCAGCTCCTTACTAGAAGTCTATTATCAGCCACTGACCAAGGGCACGTACAGTACTCTAAGGCCTGTGAAATCACTACTTGTGTTGTCCTTCGGATTACAACATAAAGTTAGATCTTGGTGTCCAGTGTCTGCATTACTATTTGTGTTTTACTAGTTTAAAGTTTCTTGTACAATTTCAGTGGGATATGGTTTTTTAAAAAAAAATCTTTCCTGGTATGGCCTATATCGTAGACATCTCTTTTTCTGCTAACACATTGGTGTAACAACCCCTTATTTCTATAGTCAGTGTTATAATCTTTGTATAATCTTGTGCTGAAAGACAGCCGCTGCGCCTGAGAAATGAGGCAGCTGTTCACCCCCCTGGAAGGTATTTGTTAATATCCAACACGATGAGCGCAGGACATGAAGAACTACAAATGAATTGGTAGAAAGACCTTAGGGAGAAGCAAGAACATGATGTTTGCAGTTACAATATCCCCAGAATATGGACCTGATAGCTGTGAAAGTGTCTGTTAAAGGTTGTTTGGGTTTTGGTGCTTTGCATGTGCCCTCTCCAGCACACCCTAATGACAGCGGAGAAGATGCGAAGAGAATGGTTCAGATTGATTTAGAGGAACATGCTCAGCTGAGTGAGTTGCTGGCTTAATTCTCTGCAGTGCCTACACCTTCTCTAGAGGCCTGCAGCTAAATTCAGGACAGGGGCAGGTCCTTGTCTGAATTTAGTCATTAGATCTGACAGGACCATAATCTTTCTTAGTATCTAAATATGGATATAAGTGCTGTGATGGTGGTGCTGCCTCCTACTTCAGACATGCTGTGAGAAACAGTAGTTTCGTTCACTTGCCTTTGGAACCAAGACACTTGGCTTCATAAGTCATGAGTAAAATAGGCTTGGTTTTATTTTTACCAATTCGTATTGATTCCTAGAAGGTATTTTTCATAACCTAAGCTTACCTGTAGCTTATCATGCCTGGTTCAGGTGTGAAATAGCCAGCTGCTCTGCAGTGAAGGATTGTAGAAAACGTAGAGCTGGAAGAGCAGGGGAATGACAAATCAGAACTGAGGTATTTTGACTGCTGGGTGAAGGCTGCTGTGAGTGAAGAGAATTGCTCTGTACCAGCAAACTCAAATGTAAGGGATTATTGCAGATGTGAAGTTGCAGATCTGAAACAGCAGATTTGAAATGATTGACTTGCAGGATTGAAAAGTACTGGCATAGGTGTAGGGTGCCTGGAAAGAGAAAAGTTAAGTGTGCTCCCTGTCACAATTATGGTAGCTGGTGCTGATTTGAATAAGAAAAGCAAACGGACAGGGCTTTATACCTGAAGCTCTAACACTCCAGGGTTTCAGTCACAGCATTTCCATCATCCTCGGAGAAAGACTGGAAAAGATTGTGACGCAAGAAAGCAAATCCTAAAATGGAGGGAAGAGGTAGAATTCTGTTGGGCACAAGGCAAAGAGCCTGGTTATTCTTGGTTAATTTGTTCTGATGGAGTGAGGAGTGAGGTATTGTTTCACCCCACTTCGATCTGTGGGTAAGGGCCAAAACCCCACCTTGTCACCCAGGACAGCTCTGAGTTGCAAAAAGTAATCTTTACTTGGGGACAGGAGTGTGCTCATGCGCTGCCTCCTTAGGAGGAGGTGGGAGAATGAACAGAGCCCTGTAATAATGCTGTCAAGATTGTCACAGACTCCCTGGATCGTGGGAGGCAAGGCTTGGAAGAGTCCTACTATTCAGGTTAAAAATCAAATAAGTAGATAGTAGCTAGAGATGGGTTGTGGCAGGTGTATGGGGGAGGGATGATTTCTTTCCCCCCCACCTCTCCTGTTATTTCTACCATGCAGACCCTCCGTACCGGGCTGCATCTCCTGCACAGGAGCAGGTGTTGGTGGGGCAGCTTGGGTGCAGTTTCTACAGCAGCTGACATCTGCCCAGAGGCTTTCTAAATCTAATCCACTCAGGCTTGCACAACAGCCAAGGACACATGTTCCTCTGCCTTCTGGGCCACTCGCAGCTGCTGTTGCCAGCCACAACACTTTGCCCTCAAGAGTTATGCAGACACTGAGCTCAGGTGGCCCACGGACGAATGTTCCCTGGTACGCTATGAGGTGCATCTCTGATTTGTCTTTGCAACCACACCTCTGAGGTGGGTCTCCCCTGCTCCTCATCTTGCTTTTCTTGTGGCTTTTTTCTCACCATCTACTGGAATTCAGGTACAAGAGCTTACCCGTGTAGCTGCTGTGAATAGCTGTCCCCTCCCAAGATGACCATACAGCCTCTGCAGTAATCAATCCAGGATGCAGGAAATCTGAGATTCAGTTCTGCTGTCACAGCTGAGAGGGGTCCCTAAATACAAGAATGGCTTGGTGACATCTAAAGCAACAAGATTCTTTTTGGCTAAGGAGGGGAAAGGTTATTCCTCTGGGCCCTATAAATCCTGCATATCCTAATTTAGAAAGAATCCAGTCTTGAGGCACTGAGCATCCTTTTCAGTAAACTGCTGATGTTATATGAGCTGTTTTCTATCTTCACCCTGAGGAACAGAATGTCCTAGAGTAATGTTAAAAAGATGTCCATCCTCTTCTCTGTTCCACTTTCTTGCTGGTAGTAACCAAAATTGGAGGGCAGTTTGTCTGCACAGGGGTTTGAAATGTGTGTTGAGGACAGGGTAAGGAGCATGGGAACTGAGAGCTTACTAGAACTATGTAAGTGATGGTGTTTTGTTTCCTCATCTCCTAACTTACATCCTCTTTTCTTCATACAGAGAGATGGTTGCCCTAAGATTGTCAACCTGGGCAGTTCCAAGACAGATCTCTTCTACGAAAGGAAAAAGTACGGCTTCAAGAAGAGGTGATCCTATCCATACGTGGCTACACCTCCTGTTGGGTTGGCAAGAGGATCTTGGAGCATCTCTGGACTTTACTATTATCGAAAACCGGTTGATTATTTTTTTCTAAAGCAGTACAAATTCAGTAGTATACTTGGGATTGGAGAAATAACAGACTGAGTGGGGACTGAAACCTGATGAGAACTGACTCTCAGAAAGAGCAAGTGAGGATTTCTGTCTCTTGCCTTTTCAGAAGCTCTGCTAGTAGCTGCCCCAGCTCACTATAAAAATCCTGGTGGGCAAGTATTTACACGTGGAGGAGACCAGCTCAGTAAAATGCAAGTGCCATTTCTGGTGCAGGGAAACACCTTGTGTTTGTTCTTACTGGGCCTCCTCTCAATTGTTTGAAATCACCCCATGCATCAGTATTGAGGAACAGAGCACCGATCCCATGTGTCAGCTCCCCCTCCTCCCTTCCTCCAGTATATTTCCATGCTGCCCTGTTTTGTAAGGAACCTGCTCATGGCTGGTGCCTTCCTAGGGAGAGCACAGCTGCTCCATGTTTTCTTTGATAGATTAATCCAAGGCCCTTTCTTGTAACTGTTTCTGTAGGATGCATACCAATAAAGCTTCTTCTTTTGTTTTTTGGGGGTTTGGGGTTTTTTTAATTTTTATTTTGTATAACAAGGATTTCTCTCTGGTTCGTTCTGTCCCCAGCCTCTCTGGAGTTTTCTGGGGACATGCAGGATTAGTCCAGCTAGAACTGCACAATGGGTTATCTGGTTTCTGACAGTGCCTGCTTACGGCCATGTGACCTTGCTGCAAGGAGCTTCAGGGAATGGCTATCGCTTTTGTCTGCCTGTGATCCCAGCCACTGATCATTTTGTCCCATAGCGTGAGGATCGCTGAGCTTGTAACCCTTATCCTAGCTAATACGACTGTGGATGTTGTTTCACCATGCAAACATCCAATCCCTTGTTAAAACCTACTAAGCTATTTGACTCGCTATCCTGTTCTTGTGAATTAGTTAAAGCCTTCCCTCCTGTAACTGGAAACCAACTATTGTGTTCTAGGCTATTAGCCATATGCATGCTGAAAACCAGAGGCTGCTTGTTTGTCAAATACCAGTACAGGCTAAAAGCAGTCTGTTGGCTCAGCAGAGATCTGGGGACAGGCACCTTTATGCAGAGGCGGAACTACTT